GATTTCGCTGAGTCTGGACGTCCTGTGGGTCCTCACTGGTCTCGCTTGGCCCTAGCGTGACCTCGTCCTACAGTGCTCTGGGTAGGGCGTGGCTCCCTTCCATGTCTAGATGTCTAGACATTCCTTCTCCGTGGCAGAGTAATTTTCCTCTGCCTTGAGGAGCGACGGCTAGCGTATGCAATGACCCTCTCCGGCGATCTGCTGCGTTAACACTGCTCCGAGGCAGTAATCAATGGCGTCTGTTTGTAGTACTAGCCGATCAATGAAATCGGGACACGCCAAGACTGGCGCCTGGGTCAACTTTTATTTGAGGCTGTCAAATGCCTGTTGCTGCTCTTCCGTCCATTCCCATTTCTGGGCCTTCTTCAACGGCTTGGTCATGTGCTGGACCACCGTGGCGAAGTTTGGGACGAACCTTTGGTACCAGGAGGCCATTCCAATGCAGCGACGAAGTTCCTTCAGTGTGGTCGGCGGCGTTAGTTGCTGGACTGCGATGACCTTGTCCGGGTCTGTGTGGATACCCTTTTCACTTATGACATGTCCAAGGTACACCAGGCTCTTCGCAAAGAAGCTGAATTTATTCTGGTTCAGCCGGAGATTGGCTTTTCGTAGTCTTCGCAGGACCTCCCGCAGATTTTCTATGTGCTCCTCCAGGCTGGCTCTTATTACGATGATGTCGTCAAGATATGCAAAGGCGTGTGGCTCCATGTTGGGGACAATGACGCTGTCCAGGGCTCGATGAAAGGTTGCTGGTATGATCTGGTCTGCAGGGCACTAGTCGTTGTCTATATTCCCTATTGTTCACACGCTTTTATTTGTGGCGCTCGGCACCGCACTAACGATCCCGATCCTTATCTCTTCAGAGTCCCTGCTCGGGCGCCATCTGTAAGGAAGTTTCCCAGCCAAGGTACAGCCTCTCAGTCTGACCTATGTATTAAAGACCATACCGATGTCAGGGAGGCATGTAGGAGGGGGGCGGCGCTGGCCCAGGGTTATGGATAGTGGTGGAAGACCGCGTGGTCGATATGGGCATAGGGCACGCCCCGTGGGACGCAGACCCCGCGAAAGTGGGACGTCTCGCAGCGCTTGGGTGCGGGGACAGAGCACGAAGTGCTGGCTGCACCTAGGTATGGAGGAGGATAGGTTAGAGTAAGGCGAAGTGAAGACAGTGGTTCGTGAAGACCCAGGATGAAGGGGAGACCAGTTCGAGGATGCCGTGACATCCGCTTATGACACCACTGGCTGGCTTCCACAAACATGCAAGGGAGGGGACGGGAAGGTAGCAGACTATGTATATACATACATTCTATACATGTATAGAAACGATGTGTGTGAGTTTTAATATTTTTCTTTATTTCCTGCCTACTAGCTTAGTGTCTGTGTGAGTGTTTGTGTGTGTAAGTGTTAAGCAGGCCATCCACGATAGAATTTGTTGGAAAACATGTTCTATATTATAAATTTCATTTGCCCACCAACGAGTGCGAACATTTCTCGCAAACATCATTTTGTTTACATTTGTCAACGAGTCAACATGTCACGGGACACCGAGACAGTAATTGCCTTAATGGCAATATAAATAAATAAATTTATAATAAATCTAATAAATCTAAATCTAATTTATAATAATTTATAAATTCTTGCAAAAATTGTTTTGATATTTTAAACGAAGGTTTTCACTCAAGCAAAAACTTTTACAAATGATGTTCGTGCCAACCTTGCCATCCATTGACGAACACGTTGGCACGAATACAGCGAAGATAGAACCATGGTGAAATTACTAATAGGTGTTACTTGTTTACCACGCTCTCTCAGCTCTCAGAGAGGCAAGCTATCTCTTTCTAGCAGATAGCAAACTTTTTACGTTCTGCACTCTTCGTTTTTATTGTTTCTGCCTACAGCAAAGAAAAGATGTTCGATAATAAATAAAACGAAATAGTTCAAAACAAATTATAACATTTTAATAGGTATGTTATAATAAAATCTTAAGATATTTTTTTTGACCAATTAGTCTTTGTTTCTGCTTTTGAATTTTAATTCTTCTATTTAAATTTTTAATACGAAATTTTATCCGCATTTAAAAACAAATTCTTTGGTTTTTGTATCCAATTCAGTGTTATTGGAACTTTTTATCATTTTTTGCAGCAAAAATCTATTAAGGCAAACATTGTTTCCATTAAATTGAAAGAAAATTCGTCCGCTACACAACCTCTTTCGTCGACGTTTAGCAAACAACTGACAAGCTGGTGGGCCCATGATGCAATTATATAAGGTGGTCTCGTCGGCTGCCGAGTCGTTGGTGTTTCAGGACCTTAACGTTCAGTGCGCGCTCGCTTGTTGTAGTAAAAGGTTGGGTACTCAAAAAAGAGTTAAGGGGTATGTATATTGTATTTGTGGTAAAAGTGGATGTGTGCAACGCAGAGAAGTTTCCGACCCCATAAAGTATATATATTCTTGATCAGCATCAATAGCCGAGTCGATATAGCCATATCTGTCTGTCTGTCTGTTTGTCTGTCTGTCCGTCTTGTTGAGCGCCTAGATCTCAGAGACTTTAAGAACTAGGGCAACAAAATTTGGATTCCAGACTCATATTATATCACACTGCTACAAGTGTATTTCAAAATTTCGCCCCGCCCCCTTCCGCTACCACAAAGGACGAAAGTCTGTGGCAGGCACAATTTAAAAGATACAATAAAACTAAAAACTAAAATGCCCATATCTACCAGATTGCCGAATCTGAATCCGATCAGATCGTAATTATAGCCAGAATGAAGAACTTTAATTTTCAGTTGCTTCCCCCGCCACCGCCAGCCAGAGAGAGACCCGCTACTCATTCTCTTTCTCGCTCGCACACTCTGCCGAGTTTAGTGCGCGAGCGCCCTCCAGCGGAGGAGATGTAGAATCTAAATGGTACATGTACAATCTAAATGGTACATGTACAATCTACATGTTAGATTTAGAAAATACATTGTAGATGTAGATAACAGATGTAGCAAAAAAATGTATAATGTACAATTTTTTTTAAATTCTAAAATTCTAAAAAATTATATGCTCAAAAATGTATATACTGACTGAGTACGGGTATAAGTAGAGTCGCGTCCCCAGAAGCGACTCACACGTTCCTTCTCGTTTTTTTTTTTGTGTTGTGTGTTCTGGAAAGCTCTATGGCGACTCAGCGCCTAGTGGCGCCGAAGTGTGGGACTCTAAGCCACTAAAACCAATCTAACACACCAGCCCCGGTCCCGGAACTGTCTCGAGATATTACTTCGCCGGGCGCCTATACGCTCATCTATTTTAGAGTATGTCTCTCTCCTTTCCTTGCGTGCTCTTTCTTCGCTACGCAGCTTGGTAGTCATCACTGTGGTCATGCTGCTTATCGCAGCCCAGGTATCTTCTGACTCCAGTAGACATTGCGCTAGGTTTGCCATTGATGTCGTCCTTCCAAGCATGTGGGTGAGGACTACCCGATCTTGTTGGATCCTTGGACATTTAAATAAACAACGTTTCGCGTCTTCGGCGACCCGTGTGCAAAAGGGGTCATCCTCGTGCTTAAACCTATGCAGGTAGGCTATAAAGCATCCATGTCCTCTCAGCAATTGGGTCAGGTGGTACTCAACATTTCCGTGGCTACGGCTCAGCCAACTCTGCAGGTCCGGGATAAGCCTATGTGTCCAACGCCCTTTGCTGCTGGAGTCCCAAGCGCTTTGCCATTGCCCTATTGTCCGCTGCCTTGCGTCACCTCTGGTGTCCTGGTCACTAGTCCCTAGGTCCCGTTGTGTCCTTATTCCACCTGCTGCCAACAGGTGAATAGGGATCATTCCTGCTACCACTAGTGCTCCGTCTTGCGATACTGTTCTGAATGCACAGCATACTCTCAAGGCGCGCACTCTCTGGACATCTCTGGACGTTGCATTCTCGGGCATAAGTTTTCTGTTCAAATGCATCGGCCCATACTGGTGCCGCATATATTAACGTCGAACTGACGACGCTCGCTAAGAGATACCGTCTCGGCTGTTTCGGCCCTCGCGTGCTTGCCATTATGCGAGATAGGGAACTGCTTGCATACTCCATGTGGTCCCTAAAACTGAGCCTATGGTCAATCATGACCCCCAGGTACTTCAGGCTTGGACTGGAGCTAATAGTGGAGTCACCTACTTGGATTTTGGCCGTCTCAACAATCTTCCTTCTGCTTATTAGCACCGCCTCTGTCTTATGGGTGGCTATTGTTAGCCCATCCCGGAAATCCAGTTTTTGGCTCCCTCTACGGTGTCATTGCAGATTCTTTCTGCCACTTCTATATATTTTGCCACTGCGACTATTGCTATGTCGTCGGCAAAACCTATCACCGTGACACCCATTGGCATATTCATCTGTAGGATTCCATCATACATGATGTTCCACAGCAGCGGTCCGAGTACCGATCCTTGGGGAACACCTCCAGTGATTTCGTGCTCACGCGTCCCCTTATCTGTCTCGTATATGAGCACTCGGTCTCTGAGATAGTCAGCGATGATTATCTGCAAATACGGCAGTACTTGGAAGTTTTTCAATGCTTCTAGTATGTGGTCCCAACTGGCAGAGTTAAACGCATTTTGGACGTCGGGTGTTGTCACTATGCAGTACTCTTTGCTCCCATACATCCATCGGGTGCCATCTATAGCTCGCTTTGCTATCTCACATACCTCGCCGATTGCGTCCACAGTGGAGCTGCCTTTGCGAAACCCATACTGTCTCGGTGAGAGTTGACGCGTTACAGCTGCCTCCAGCCTTGTGTGGATTATGCGCTCGAGAATCTTACCCACTGTGTCTAGCATGCAGAGTGGTCTGTAGGATGATGGCTCCTCGGTGCCTGTTCCCCTGGGTTGGTTCTCGGGCACCCCCACTCCGTCGCCCATGCGTTGCTCGCTTATGACTGCTACATCAATGCGGTGTTATCTGATGGTTTGCTCCAGTAGCTGCTGGGCAACCTCACAGTGGTTGAGGTTTATCTGGATGATTTTCATCTATCCCTCATCTGCTGGATCGCCTTTTGGTACTGCGGGCACCTCGAACTCGTCGTTTGGTGCTTCGTGTCCTTCGCCCGCTGCCGCTTGCAGATAATGCAGGTCGGCTGGACTTTGCAGTCTTTAGCCTGGTGATCTGTTTCTACACTTTGTGTAGTCTTGGGCACTTTTGCAGTTCGTCGCGATGTGCCCAAACTCCATGCACTTAAAGCATCTTCTGGGCGTGGTTTTGGGCCGTATCCGGCAATAACCCCATCCCAAACGGATTCTTCCTTTTCCTAAAGGCGTCGCTGCTACTGCCGGCGAGACTTTCAGCGTCAGGGTCTGGGTTCTCCTGTAGGCTGGTCGAAAGGCAATGACCGCAGCCTCATTTATGGCTACCCCTGCCTGCTCCTTAAGCTCCGCCAGCACTTCTTCTTGAGTGGACACCTCGTCTATGTCCTTTACCTCAATGATAGCCGTTTCAGTAAGGCTTCTGACTTCGGCCGTGCTTCCGAGCGCCTCTTGAAACGCTGCCTGCATTACCTGGGTTTTCGGGTCTGCCGCTTTCTCCAGTACTAGTAGGAGCTCTGCCTTTGCGGTGCGTCGCACCCCTTGCACTGTTTGCCCTAGAGTCTTAAGGCTTGGCTCATTCTTGACCTTCCTAAGGATGTCTGCGTTTGAGACCGCGCTAGTGGTAGCGATGACTATTGCGGGGGTCTTGGTCGCGGTTGTTGTGGCTTCGGCTTACGCCTAGCTGCGACCGTTACCCAGCCCTCCGCTCGCTCCTTGGGGATTGCCGCTGGTCCCTTGCGGGCTACAGCGTCCCTCATTGGGGCTTTTTTGCCTTCTTTTTGTGCCCATGCTTTACCTTCTTTGGGGTTGGGGACGGGTGGGTGCGGCTTCGGGCCTCTGGCCGCACCCTCAATCCCTCCCTCTCCGTTCCTTCCGGCTCCGCTTGCTCTTTCGGATGGCTGGCCTTGGCTGAAACCTGCTCCGCACTGACCGCCTGCTCCGCGCTGGCCACCTGCCAGTACGATTCTACCTCTCGCTGCAGGTAGTTGATCCCATCTACCAAATCCCTCATTGGAATGGTGATGGAAGCACAATCAGCTTCCTCAGCTCTCTAGAATTCTGTCCCAAGCTCGCCAGTTGCGCAATGGCTGTCTCCCTCGGGGATGCATGCTCCACTTGGGGGCGCTGCAACGCCGGGGGAGACGACCTTGCGCGCTCCTCCACTGCCTGTATCGGCTGCGTTGAAGATCTGGCGATAGTTGCCCTTCTCCTAAAGGGATTTCCGTCATCCCATGCGAATGAGCTTTTAAGCGGAGTGCTTCAAGCTGCCGCTAGTTCAGGTTCCGGTTCCATCTGGTCGCTCATCTCTAATGAGCTCCTTTTTCCACCGGTCTGGCAACCCTGCGTTATGGCAAAGTTGTGCGCTGCGATCGTTACACCGCACTTTTTGGTGGGTGTGATCTGGCAACGCCATGCCAGCTGATCTGCCGTCGCTTCCTAACACCACTTGGAGAGTGTTTGGCCGAAATTAGCTCAAAAAACACCCGACAAAGCAAGTGGCGCCAAGAAATGGAACAAGGAAAGGAAATCAGGCGCTTACCTGCGGTGATTTATAGCTGAACGTGTCAGCTTTTCAGAACAGTTAAGTTCTATGCAACCAGATGTAAGATACTTAAGTTATGTGAAAAATAGAAGCAGTAACTCTGAAAAAAATTTCAAATTTCAAAAATTCTTTAAAAAAAACTAAACCATAAAAAAAAAATATTATACAATAAAAATTTAAAAATCCAGAAATCTATCAGAAAAAGTTATTTTGGTCCACAGCGGGAAGAAAAAGTTCAATTTTGTCGAGTAGTGTTATCAAAGACTATACAATACCAAGATGTTGCATGGGGAGCAAATGCTCGTTCAATTTTGGTTTGATGATTCATGGTTCGGTAGCACGGGGTAGTTTCTCCATTCTCCTTTAGGCTAGTCTTTGCCAATGCTATGTCGTCGGCAAACCCTATCACCGTGGCACCCATTGGCATATTCATCTTTAGAATTCCATCAACGCTCGTTCTCATTCGTAGTCCAAGTTGTCTATTTTCCTTTGTTTAACTTAAACTATATAATTTAACTCTCTAACTAACTTACATTAAAATCATACTTTTACCGCGGGTGCATGCCTGATAATTGTGTAAAAACACAACTTATTTAATAAATGTTGTGCGTCGGTTAGTCGTGTGTTTGTGTTGCTGCTTTTCGTAAGTACGCGCTTTCATTACATTTAGCCGCTCGTAATTATTGCCGTCTATCACTCTCTCTATCACCTAACTCTAAATAACTGTTCTTTCGCTCTCGCTCTTGTAACTTTTTGTGCAGTAACGCTCTCACTTATACGCTGTTGCTGCAACCACTCTCCTCTCTCATATTTTAACGATTTTGCTTTAAGCATTGCTCTATGCGTTTGCTCTGCACAGTGGTCTGATTGCTATTTGTTTTGAACTTTTGAAAAAAAAAATTAAAGGCATAAATATGGAAATATGGAATTTTCTGTCGTCTGTGCCAAAAAAAACTGCAAGAAGCAGATCACCCATGACCAGCCCAATATCCCCTGCTGGCTTTGCGAAAGCGTAGTGCACGCAAAATATGTAGGGATCTCGGGCCGTGTAGGAGACGCCATTTCCCAAAACAACGGCCTGCATTATAGTTGTGAGAAATGCCGTGCTGTGAAAACGACATGCGTTTGTTCATGAGGCAGACGCGGAGTGGCTTCAAAGAGCTGATCGTATGCTTTAAACAGCAATATGATCGGCTCTTGGCCATGGACACTCAGTTCAGCAGTTTACAGCTGTTGGCTGTGTCTCCGAGGCGCAAGAAGTCTACTCTGCGGGACTTGCAAGTGCCGACTGTCTCATGTCCGGCGGCATCTGAAAAACTTGCTCCGACCACTCCCTTACTGCAGCAGTTGATTACGTTTGCTACTCCCAGGGCAACGATCGCTGCTGGTGATGCAGATTCGGGAGCCGAATGCGTCACTTCGAAGAGTATGCAGGTAGGCATGTCTGTAGCGTCCGTGTCCGTCGAGTCCACACCTATCTCCTTAACTATCCCATGTTTCGCTCCGACTAGCTAATAGATGTCCAGGACCACCGGAAACTGGCATCACAGGTACTAGGCCTGTGGTGCCAAAACCACTGGTGGGAGTCCCACCAAAGCGACAAGTTTTTGTCTCGCGGCTAGCCCCTGACCTCACATCCAATGACGTGACCGCTTTTATACAAAGCAAAATAAAAGCCGTCGGCTTAAAGGTGGAAAAATTTAACTTTTCTAACGCCAGGGAGATATCTTCCTTCAAACTTCACCTCGGAACATTTCATGGTCCAGGTTCAACAAGATCTGGAATTCCTGTGCGTAAAACTGATTCTCCCAGGCTTTTCCATTTTCATTACTTGCTCGTATATTCCACCTTCCTCGGATATCTTAATATACAAGCACCACCTGTCCGCTTTAAAAACTGTTTCTTCCTCGCTATCAGATAAAGACCATATGATAGTTCTTGGTGATTTCAACTTGCCAGGTACTGTTTGGTCTTCGGTAAACGAGTTTAATAACCTTGTGCCCATGTCACGACATGACTTTATCGACGGCTTGCTAGACCTATCCCTGTCTCAAGTCAACCATGTACAAAATTCCTTGGGTCGATTGCTTGATCTGTGCTTTGTCTCGGATCCGACCATAGCGTTGTTAAACCGATGTTAACTCACTATACCTGAAGACTCCTACCATCCTACATTCGAAGTGTCAGTCGGTATTGGCCCTACTGTATTGGATTGAATGGGTAGGCTATCTGAACGTGTCGGCTGCTTTCGTAAAGCCGAGCTTACGAAGCTTAATAACCTCATTAGTGATTTTGATTGGTCCGCTCTGTATTTGTGCACTGACGTTATGAAAGGCACAAACATTTTTTACAATGTACTTGACACATTTTTTGATTCTTATGTCCCACTTTCTTGTCCGGTTAGATCTGGAAAGCCTCCTTGGTTTACCAAAGAGTTATCCAGTCTAAAAAACTTAAAATCAAGACTTTATAAAAAATTTCGAGAAGTTGGTTCTCCCTCTTCTCTTTCTCAATATGTAATAGCTCGGTCAAATTTCTCCGTTCTTAACGCTCAATGCTATAAAAACTACCTATCTCGATGCAGGATACGATTTTCACAGGACCCTAAACAGTTTTACAGCTTCGTAAATAGTAAGCGTAGAACGTCCGCACATCCATCCTCGTTATCTTTTCTCAATATGTCAGCAAACAATGATCAGGCGATTGCCGATCTTTTTGCCAAATTTTTCAAAACAACCTATTCTCATGAAAGCTACTCTGGTCAGCCGTATCCATACAGTTTACCAAGGTCGAATGGCATCTTCAGCCCCTTGATAAATGAAATCTCACTGCTTCATGATCTTCGACTAGTTAAGCCGGTGTTTTCACCAGGTCCCGACGGAGTTCCCGGCTGTGTACTTAGGTACTGTGCCGACGCTCTGTGTGGACCCTTGCTTAAACTATTCACCCTATCCATTAACTCTTCATGCTTCCCCCATCATAAGGACATTTCATTTCACTCTCGCTTGCAATCCGATCTCAATAACTTTCAGTCATAGTGTTGTGCAAATATGTTACACCTAAATGCCTCGAAAAGCAAAGTAATGACATTTCATCGCTCCAGCCCCCTTTTTGGCCCCTTATAGCCTCTGCGGTGGTTCTCTTGAGAGAATCAGCTTGGTTGATGATCTTGGTGTTAAATTAGACCCAAAGTTAACGTTTTCTGAACACATTTCTACCATGGTAAATAAGGCCATGGGTGTGCTTGGGTTTATAAAGAGGTGGTCAAAGGAATTTGACGACCCCTATATAACGAAAACTCTCTACATCTTGCTTGTTCGTCCGATTTTACTGTAAGGCCCTTGTGTATGGTGCCCCCAGTACAAAGTACACCAGGACCGTATAGAATCAGTCCAGAAAAACTTTTTACTTTTTGCTCTGCGTGGCCTTAACTGGGATGCAGGTGTGAGACTGCCATCTTACCCTCGTAGATTGCTTTTAATAAACCTTCCAACCTTAGTTAGTCGTAGAAAAATGCTTGGTGTGATCTTTATGCACAACCTGATCAAGGGTGACGTAGATAGCCCTAACTTGTTGAGCCGCATAAACTTTACGAATTCTATTAGATCTACTAGAAACTTCATTCCTTTGTTCCTTCCGCCTTGTAGATCGAATTATTCCTTGCACGAACCATTAAGGGTCCTTTGCTCGGACTTCAATTCCCTCTACCACATAATATCAACTACTAATTCCCTTCCTCTTCTTAAATCACTAATACTAACACACCTTTCCCGTAATTATTTATATATCTTAGCTATCTTTGCATGTTTAGCTCTTTGAGTTGTGTTTAGCTCTAATTTTCCTCGAATTTTAGTCTAACACCTATCTTTCCGGCATGCTCGCGATCGGTTCGGTAACACGCGTCGCGCGTCATGCGGCCGGTCGGTTGGGCGGGAGGAGGGCTGCGTTTCTGCCTGGGTTCCGCGCGTAACAGGCTTCGGCTTGGTGTATCATGGGCCTCTTGATGGTGCAGTCACTGCATATAAAAAAAAATAATAAAAATAATGATGTTCCACAGCAGCGGTCCGAGTACCGATCCTTGGGGAACACCTCCAGTGATTTCGTGCTCACGCGTCCCCTTATCTGCCTCGTATATGAGCAGTCGGTCTCTGAGATAGTCAGCGATGATTATCTGCAGATACGGCGGTACTTGGAAGTTTTTCAATGCTTCTAGTATGTGGTCCCAACTGTCAGAGTTAAACGCATTTTGGACGTCGAGTGTTGTCACTATGCAGTACTCTTTGCTCCCATACACATCCATCGGGTGCAATCTATAGCTCGCTTTGCTATCTCACATACCTCGCTGATTGCGTCCACCGTGGAGCTACCTTTGCGGAACCCATACTGTCTCGGTGAGAGTTGACGCGTTACAGCTTCCTCCAGCCTTGTGTGGATTATGCGCTCGAGAATCTTACCCACTGTGTCTAGCATGCAGAGTGGTCTGTAGGATGATGGCTCCTCGGTGCCTGTTCCCCTGGGTTGGTTCTCGGGCACCCCCACTCCGTCGCCCATGCGTTGCTCGCTTATGACTGCTACATCAATGCGGTGTTATCTGATGGTTTGCTCCAGTAGCTGCTGGGCAACCTCACAGTGGTTGAGGTTTATCTGGATGATTTTCATCTATCCCTCATCTGCTGGATCGCCTTTTGGTACTGCGGGCACCTCGAACTCGTCGTTTGGTGCTTCGTGTCCTTCGCCCGCTGCCGCTTGCAGATAATGCAGGTCGGCTGGACTTTGCAGTCTTTATCCTGGTGATCTGTTTCTGTGCAGTTGTAGCAGCACTTTGTGTAGTCTTGGGCACTTTTGCAGTTCGTTGCGATGTGCCCAAACTCCATGAACTTAAAGCATATTCTGGGCGTGGTTTTGGGCCGTATCCGGCAATAACCCCATCCCAAACGGATTCTTCCTTTTCCTAAAGGCGTCGCTGCTACTGCCGGCGAGACTTTCAGCGTCAGGGTCTGGGTTCTCCTGTAGGCTGGTCGAAAGGCAATGACCGCAGCCTCATTTATGGCTACCCCTGCCTGCTCCTTAAGCTCCGCCAGCACTTCTTCTTGAGTGGACACCTCGTCTATGTCCTTTACCTCAATGATCGCCGTTTCAGTAAGGCTTCTGACTTCAGCCGTGCTTCCGAGCGCCTCTTGAAACGCTGCCTGCATTTCCTGAGTTTTCGGGTTTGCCGCTTTCTCCAGTACTAGTAGGAGCTCTCCCTTTGCGGTGCGTCGCACCCCTTGCACTGTTTGCCCTAGAGTCTTAAGGCTTGGCTCATTCTTGACCTTCCTAAGGATGTCTGCGTTTGAGACCGCGCTAGTGGTAGCGATGACTATTGCGGGGGTCTTGGTCGCGGTTGTTGTGGCTTCGGCTTACGCCTAGCTGCGACCGTTACCCAGCCCTCCGCTCGCTCCTTGGGGATTGCCGCTGGTCCCTGGCGGGCTACAGCGTCCCTCATTGGGGCTTCTTTGCCTTCTTTTTGTGCCCATGCTTTACCTTCTTTGGGGTTGGGGACGGGTGGTTGCTGCTTTGGGCCTCTGGCCGCACCCTCATTCCCTCCCTCTCCGTTCCTTCCGGCTCCGTTTGCTCTTTCGGATGGATGGCCTTGGCTGAAACCTGCTCCGCACTGACCGCCTGCTCCGCGCTGGCCACCTGCCAGTACGATTCTACCTCTCGCTGCAGGTAGTCGATCCCACCTGTCTCCCTCGGGGTTGCATGTTCCACTTGGGCGCGCTCTTCCACTGCCTGTATCGGCTGCGTTGGAGATCTGGCGATAGCTGCCCTTTTCCTTAAAGAGATTTCCGTCATCCCATGCGAATAGCTTGTAAGCGGAGTGCTTCAAGCTGCCGCTAGTTCAGGTTCCGGTTCCATATGGTCGCTCATCTCTAATGAGCTCCTTTTTCCACCGGTCTGGCAACCCTGCGTTATGCCAAAGTTGTGCGCTGCGATCGTTACACCGCACTTTTTGGTGGGTGTGATCTGGCAACGCCATGCCAGCTGATCTGTCGTCGCTTCCTAACACCACTTGGAGAGTTTTTGGCCGAAATTAGCTCAAAAAACACCCGACAAAGCAAGTGGCGCCAAGAAATGGAACAAGGAAAGGAAATCAGGCGCTTACCTGCGGTGATTTATAGCTGAACGTGTCAGCTTTTCAGAACAGTTAAGTTCTATGCAACCAGATGTAAGATACTTAAGTTATGTGAAAAATAGAAGCAGTAATTCTGAAAAAAAATTTCAAATTTCAAAAATTCCTTAAAAAAAACTAAACCATAAAAAAAATATACAATAAAAATTTTAAAATCCAGAAATCTATCAGAAAAAGTTATTTTGGTCCACAGCGGGAAGAAAAAGTTCAATTTTGTCGAGTAGTGTTATCAAAGACTATACAATACCAAGATGTTGCATGAGGAGCAAATGCTCGTTCAATTTTCGTTTGATGATTCATGGTTCGGTAGCGCGGGGTATTTCTCCATTCTCCTTTAGGCTAGACTTGCTAGTTGTTATTATTTGTTTGTGTGTATTCACAGTGGGGACTCGGCCGAAAAAAGGTGGCAAATGTCAAAAATATTTTATGAACGCTTTCAATCAAATAAATATACACATCTAATTTTCCTGAGCTTTAGAGAATTTAATTTTAAAGATAATTTTAGTTTAGGAGATATGAGCACTCAAAGTTTAAAATTGATTCATTGTAAAATAATTTATTGAACTCTTATTGACTTTATAATTTAGCAAGCTATGCCCACTGTGCGCTATCTCGAACATTATCGTTGACAAACAGACGGGCAGCAGCGCTGTCTCCAGCTCGCTCGGCTCGTCGTTGACAAACTGACGAAGTCGATGGGCAGTGGGGTCGCGGTCAGAGACGAGGCATAGCAAAAAAGAGAATTGAAACACCACGCTCATGTAGCATCTTGTATAGTCAAAAAATAAATGTCAAACTTCATATAAAAAAAAGTACCAGGAATTTTTCGTTTACGGTTTCCTGGCGTGAGAATCCAGCAACATGCGCGGAATCCAGATTTATCAGGACTGAGTGGACTGAGATATTCCTAACACACAGCTCAGAAATATACATATGCTCTACAATTATACTTGAAGTGAGAGCTGGAAGCAGAAACTGTGCGCAAAACCAAAAAGACATGCAAATTTCGACTTTTTCACTGCAACTACAGTAATATTATTCGAACACCCTTGTCACTCAAGTTTAAACAACTATAACTTGGCGTACGGTTAAGTTAAACAGAAAAAGTTAATTTTATAACATCTATCATATAATTTATTTTTCGATTCCTCGGTGCTGGAGTGTTAAGCTTAAAGAGTTAACCCACGTCAGCTTAAAAGTAGTATTAATTTTTATACATTTGTGTAAGAAAACATACTTTATTTTAAAGTTCAAAATTTAAAACATAGGTTTTCTAATACCTAATGGCCTGTTATCTGGGTTGTATTTTTTAAGTTTTGATTTTTCATATATTTACTAACCAGTTTTTTTTTTAAACAAGTCTGTAATGATCTTTCAATAATTTAAAAAAAGATTATCTATTTGAGAAAAATTATCAAATTTTTGCAATTTACATATAATCAAAGAATGGGAATGGCATGGTTAATTGCGAAAAGCTGTTATAACACAAAAACAAAATTTAAAATAGAATTAAGGAAAATATTATTACTTATACACAAAGGAGTGATCTTTAGCTTATACGAATCCAAAATTTTTGGATTTGATGGCCATCAGCATTTTAGTGCGTAAAATGGATTTGCTAGAGTACAAAGGAATATACAGTCGAGAGATACAAGTATTTGCTGTGGGAAGATGAGAGTCATCCGCAGGTCTTATAGTAACAGATGGCAAAGGTTGAAATCCCTCTTCCGAAGCAGGTAAGGCTGGCGAACCTGTCCAGAAATAAACCTAAAAATATAGAATATATAATTATTATAAATATTTAATTTATACAAGAACAGTTACCAAATCTTGACGTTCCAATATATTCATTTTTTCAACAATGCTCCAAAACCATCTTTTAAACTTTAAAAGTTTATCAGGACCTTCGCTAGACTCGTCGTTAAAGGTAGTATATGAAATCAACGTTGAAACATTAATATCTCCGACGCCATTCAAAAGCAAACGTAAATCTTCTGCGGTTAAGCTGTTCATACTGTTGTCAGGCAGAACGTCAAAAACCCCGTCTTTTAATGCCTAAAAGAAAAATATTAAAAATATCGTTCTAGTACAATTAATAGTGTCTTACCTCAAGTGCCTTTTCCTGCGATTTAATCAGTCTATATTCGGTATAACGTCTTATATAATCGAATATGTTAATTGGTGTTACCGGTACTTCACGACCTCCAGGAATTAACTCTGTATTGCCACAACCTTCCTCTTTCATTAAATCAATGCTACAAGAAAATTTCTTTATAGTATAAGTTTACATTCCGTGAACAAAATTTGTACATACACAAAACATAATTCCATTCGATTGATGGTTTCTTCACCCTCTTTTGTTTGGGCATTTTGAATAATTTGCCTGAAAGATTCATATAATGCTGGATCGAAAAACGCCAAGTCGTGGAACTTAATTTTACGACCAAGTATGTACTTTAGCACGTGCCTTTGTAGGAATAGTGGAAGCAATTCATTTTGCAACAGACAAAGTCCAATTAGTCTTAACATATATGGAGAAAAATAAGTTAGGCTGTAAATGACAATTTGATTAAATAGCTCACAAAAGTCTTACCTTCCAATATTTCTAAATGCGTTAATGCGTTCAAAGGTCGCAAAGCCCTGGCGTGGTGTATAGAATCCCCGCTTACCCGGAGAGTAAAATAATGGATCATTATCGTCATCTGCGGGTTCGACTAACACTACTGATGCAGATTTTTTTTGCTGACTATTTTGAGAACATGATTCCGACTTTTGCTTAAAAGTTATAATTTCTATGGCTTCATTAACTTTTTGACGCAGTGTTTCATCTGACGAGAGTACAGATAGAAGTTGGGGGGTTGGTATCTCCAAGAGCATTCCTGTTATCTTCGGTGCATGTGCTGAGTTTATTGAATTGATCTGGTAAGTAAAACATATTTAATTATTTCGATGCTATTATTAACTGAACATTGGCTACCTTAGGGTATAAACGTTCTCCAAGTTGTTGCAAATGAACAGACAAATGTTCGTTTGCGCTCTCCGCCATTGTATTATCTAAGTAATAAGAATTGCATAAGTTATTGGCAAGATAACACATTTAAAATTTAACGAGAAGGAACGTGTGAGTCGCTTCTGGGGACGCGACTCTACTTTTATACCCGTGCTCAGTCTGTATATAAATTATTGAGCTTATGATTTATGTAGAATTTTAAAACATTTTATATTTTACATTTTTTATACCCGTACTCAAAAAAGAGTTAAGGGTATTGATTGGGGTGGGTGGGGGTCCACCCCAACAGCCGGCGGCGGGGCACCACGTCACACGGATCTGTACCATGGTTACACTCCGGGGCCGGCCGGCCGGGGGGGGGGGCGGGGGGGGGGGGGAGCTAGCCGCGCATGGGGAGGCGCGGCGACTGGCGCCGCGGCGGACGGGCCGGCTGCGGGTGCTATAACTACCCATCGAGACGGACATGGCTATATCGACTCGGCTATTGATTCTGATCAAGAATATATATACTTTATGGGGTCAGAAACGTTTCATTCTCTGCGTTGCAGACATCCACTTTTACCACAAATACAATATACCCTTTAACTCTTTTTTGAGTACGGTTATAAAAAAAAAGTGATTTCATACATATACTATTTACCTGTACTGTTAGAGGGGGTGTACGGTCTGGCATCTACATTTAAAACCTTTCGGTCCCGAGCTGTTCGCCATAGAATCTTGCTACTTGTGCCACGTCTTTGTAATGTGGGCTGGTCGCGACTTGATCCGGAGACTGTTCTACTTCTCAGTATACTCGAAAATGGCACTCCGTATTTACTATGCGAGCTCCCCACTTGTATAGATTCAAGACTAGGCATTTTTGCGTTTGCCAGCAATGCTTCTGCTATGGAAGTATAGAAGCTGCGGGCTACTCCAGATCCCTCTCCAGGTTCATCTTTAAATGTTACTTTTACTCTGTTGAATGCAATAGGAGGCTGAGATCGCCGATTTTGATTCCCAAATTGGGTGTTTAGTTCTTTAAAAGTTTGAACAATTAAGGTTTCTCGGTTTCGTTCGAGTTTACAGAACACTAAGTCACGCTGTTGACCATTTCGAAGTTTTTCCATGTGTCGTCGAAAACGCATTTCCTTAACAGGAAAACCTCTCAATTCTGGCAATACAGACCCATGTTCCATTCCAACATCATCCATGAATACACGTCCGAAGATATCAAGTGTTAGTTTCCAACGGCTCAACAAAAAGTTCCAAGATGGCAGTTCCGAAAAAGTATTTTTGTAAAACAAAGAACCTCGAATGGGAAACA